GGCGTGGAATGCTACAAGTACATCAGATGGTTGAAGAAGAAAAAATGGCTTTGGAAGAATATCTGAAGAACAATGATGAAGATGCACTGAAATTAGTATATCAGGAAGGCTTACTGACTACTGGAGAGACCAAACTGGCCTACAAAAAAGACCAAATGAAGAACAGAATAGAGGCATGGGAAGACAAAACACTACATGGCCAATACATTAAAAAAAATAGCTGGGAAAGCAAATAATAACAAGACCTGGCAATGGCTAAGAGCAGGAAAATTGAAGAAAGAGACCAAGGGACTAATTCTGGCTGCACAAGACCAAGCCTTAAGGACAAAAGGCTTGAGAAGACAGCAACAGACAGTAAGTAAGCAAAAAAGCTGAAGAAACAGTGGACCACCTGGTAAACTGTTGCAAGAAGATTGCACAGACTGACTACAAGCAGCGGCATGACAAAGTAGCAACAATGGTGCATTGGAAGATCTGCAAAAAATATCATTTGCCTGTAAGCAAAAACTGGTGGGATCATAAAATAGAGAAAGTCATAGAAAATGATAAAATTAAACTGCTCTGGGACTTCAGAATTCAAACAGACAAGCACCTGCAACATAACACCCCAGACTTAACAATTGTCGATAAGAAAGACAAAAAAGTCTGGATAGTGGACGTGGCAGTGCCTGGAGACAGCAGAATAGACGAGAAAGAACTGGAGAAGATAACAAAATACAAAGACCTACAAATAGAAATAGAAAGACTGTGGCAAAAGCAAGCAAGGGTAGTACCAATAGTCATAGGCTCCTTGGGTGCAATCCCAAAACAACTGGAGCACCACTTGAACACCATTGGCATTGACAAATTCGCTATTAGTCAATTGCAAAAGGCAGCCTTATTAGGAACTGCTTCCATCCTGCGACGATATCTGTAATACCATCAAACATCCACATCTGCCTATCCCAGGTCCTGGGTAAGGACTCGATAGGTAGACAAAATGCCAAATCCAGTTTGAACATCTGGCTGACTGTGCGATGATCGATAATAATAATGTTGGAAGAGACCTTTGGAGGTCATCTAGTCCAACCCCCTGCGCAGGCAGGTAACCCTATACCATTTCAGACAAATGGCTGTCCAGTCTCTTCTTAAAAACTTCCAGTGTTGGAGCATTCACTGTTTCTGGAGGCAGGTTGTTCCATTGGTTAATTGTTCTAACTGTCAGGAAGTTTCTCCTTAGTTCTAGGTTGCTTCTCTCCTTGATTAGTTTCCATCCGTTGCTTCTTGTCCTGCCTTCAGGCGCCTTGGAAAATAACTTGACTCCCTCTTCTTTGTGGCAGCCTCTGAGATATTGGAATACTGCTATCATGTCCCCCCTCATCCTTCTCTTCATTGAACTAGACATAACCAATTCCAGCAGCCTTTCCTTATATGGTTTAGCCTCCAGTCCCCTAATCATCTTTGTTGCTCTTCCCTGTACTCTTTCTAGAGTCTCAACATAATTTTTACATCGTGGTGACCAAAACCGGATGCAGTATTCCAAGTGTGGCCTTACCAAGGCATTGAAGAGTGGTATTAATACTTCACATGATCTTGATTCTATCCCTCTGTTAATGCAGCCCAGCACTGTATTGGTCTTTTTGGCAGCTGCAGCACACTGCTGGCTCATATTTTAGTGATTGTCCACTAGCACTCCGAGGTTACTACTATTGAGCAAGGTACCCCCTATACTATACCTGTACATTTAGTTTTTCTTGCCTAAATGTAGAACTTTACTTTTTTCACCATTGAATTTCATTTTGTTAGATATCGCCCAGTGTTCAAGTCTATCCAGATCCTCCTTTATCCTAAGCCTGTCTTCTGGAGTGTTGGCTATTCCTGCCAGCTTGGTGTTGTCTGCAAATTTGATGATGTCCCCATCTATCCCCTCATCCAAATCATTGATGAAGATGTTGAAGAGCACTAGGCCCAGAACAGAACCCTGGGACACTCCACTACACACTTCCCTCCATGTAGATGCAGTTCCATTGAGGACCACACTCTGAGTACGGCCGGTCAACCAGCTACGGATCCATCTGGTGGTGATGTTGTCTAACTCACATTTTTCTATCTTATCAAGTAGTAGGTTGTGATCTACTTTATCAAATGCCTTACTGAAGTCCAAATAAATTATATCCACCGTATTCCTCTGATCCACTAATTTTGTCCCTTGGTCAAAGAATGCAATAAGATTTGTCTGGCATGATCTGTTTTTGACAAGGAAGTGAGCATAGTTACAAAAGAAATTGTTCTTGAAGCAATTTCCATATGGGGGAGAAAGAAATGATAAGACTAACTTTGTGATGTCATAACACAATCCATGTGCCTGAGGTGCATGTTTTGTCACTTTGGAATCATCTTGATTTGTATGATGTTTCCCAGGAACACAGAGGGAAGCCACACAATCCCAGGGAAAAAAATGTAGTTGCTCTGGAGTGGTTACAAACAGCAACTATGTTTACACTTCCACATGCTCTGAAGCATCCATTTGGAATCAAATCCAAAGTATTGCAAAACCTTAATGCAAACTCTCATGTTGTGGTTTAACATTAGGCACAAATTTACTTTGGTTTGTTGGGCAAACCATGATTTTAACAAATTCTGAGTTAGTGTTATTGAGATAGTATAAGATGCTTGAAATGTGGCAAATATGATGCCACTTTGAGTTTTACATGTAATGACTACATATACTCATGCATGATTATAAAAAGGGGGGAAACCCCCAAATCCCCGTGTTTATTGTTGTGGCTTTTGAGCTTCAGTTCTGGCAACTGGCCTAAAGGATTAAGTCTATTTTATTTATCTTTACTTTATACCCAGCTCTTCTGCTCAGACAAGCACTCTATTCAGGCCAATATCATTCCTGCTGAGTAGATGACAGGTCTATCAAAGGCTAAATAAATAACATGCAGAAACAAAAAGAACCAATTTTTCAGAGCTGCAGAATCAACTGTATCTCCAACATATCAAACAATCTGGTGGTTTGCAATTGAAATCATATTTAAATATGGTTTTTTTACATTAGTGCCACTATTTCTGTGTGAGTCTTCAAAATGTCTGTATAACTTACCAACTCCCACATCAACAGAAAGTTGATCCAAAGATTGCTTGCATTTCTGCTAAGCGATTAGCAAAGCCTTTCCCATAGAGGCATTCACACTCTAGGAATCCTCTTGTCTGCCCAGAATTTTTTTTTTCAGCTGCTCTCCAGAAGGTAAATGCAGCAGTTAACATTGACAGGTTTGTTCTTCTGCATTGATCAGCTTGCCATAATTGGGAGCTGTGAAATATACTCTAGTTTTCACATCAGCTGGGATTGTAATTTTCCTTTTTATAAAGCAGCCCAAATTGATTTTTTTCCAGTGAAGCAAAAATAGGAATGGAGCAGGTCTGTGACATGAAATTGATTGTTTAAGATTTCAGAAACAGCATCTGCTGGGGAGCTTTTCAGATTAGATATGTTTGGCTTCCTTGGAAGGATAGCCAAACCTTAACCTTGCAAATGAAATTAGGTTGCCTTTAAAAGCTGGCTTGCCTTCTGACACCTTGTTCAGCAACAATAAAGTGCCTCCCTGAATTCTGATTATATTCTGCCCTGTGCATCCTAAACCTCAACTCTTCTCTCAAAAAATGTTGCAGTCTTATGGTTTAATGCTTTCTATTCATGACTTCTTCAATAACAATGATGCACCTCCTCCAACACTATTAGAACAATAAACAGAAATTGTCCATGTGACTGACTCTCTCTGCCTACCAAGTATAGACTTTGCCACCTTGGATCCAACTATCAGGGCGGCTTTAGTTTATAGCTTAATAACTCATTTGGGCATAAACCTCTAAGAAATTCCATAGTATGGTATATATTCCTAGATACTGCCTTGCAAATATATTATTCATGTGATCCATTTGTATTACATGTTCAGCCATAAACCTCAATAAATGTGTGCACAGCAGCATTTTATTCTGTTGCATGTGGCTCCAAGCGCACACTATCATCCCAACTCAAACCAGCTCCATCCTGGATCATTCAGAGGCTGTAAATTAAGCATTGAGATTTAGAGATTTGAAAATGGGAGCCATTTGCGATTTGAATAATCAAACTTGTAGATGGAATAAAAGCTGCAATATAACTACTTGCCAACACTTACTGTATTTGCCAACACCTACTATACATGGATAAGCCATGCAAACACAATCCGTGATCACCCACAAGGCAAATTAGTATTATCTCCAAGTGACCAAACAGGAACACTGGAATGTATGATCATCAGAAGGACCGGTGGGGAAAAGAAACCAAATTTCTTCACAAATTTTAGTAATCCTTACTTACTGCCCTATAATTTGAGTTCACACAACATACTAAACAACAAAGGAATTATACTTTCATTTGATATGATGTGAGAATAGGAGGGCCTTTGGAAAATTAAGATTTTTTTTGCTATGGTAACAAGATTAATTTAAAATAAATTTCCTAAGCCGTTGTCTGAGAGCAATCATAAGTACCCCTTAATTAGGGCTCTCAGTACTTGGGGAAATAAGCATTCATTTCAGTCAGCCAAACTTCAAAAAAAATAAAGATATATACCAAAAAGAAGACACAGTATTTCTTTTGCCACGCAATTGCAAAAGAACGAGACAATATCTGTGAGAGCCATTCAGTCAAGTTTATTAGATTCCCCAAACGGGGATCTTGTGTCGAGAACTAAAGACAACTTGATTAAAATCCAATTTCAAAGGTTATTAACTTTTGAATTAGAAATGTTGCTTGGGTCTGGCAAATTATTTTTGGCCTGAGGCAAACATCACAAGTGGCTAGGGACCAAGATTGTGAAGCATCTGATTAGAATAGAGAAATTGTTTTTAAGCCTGTGTTCATCTCTATACTTTTCTTCCTTCAGATCTTCTGAGACACAGTATAATGAAGGGACATTTCCCCCTAGCTCAACTATTGTGAAGGAAACTGACCAGTGCTTGCTTTTTACCTTGTTATTGCAATACCACAAAGGTACATGCTAAAGAAGAATGGTAAACAATCATCTTTGATTTCCTGGTGGAATCTTTTCTTAGATATGCCGCTTTAGCTTATATATCATTTGTTCCCATTATATAAGTAGACTGAGACAATCAGGGTATCTTCTGTGACAAAACCTAGACAAAAGACACGGAAACATATTGATAATACAGTATATGTTTTCAATAAATATATTGTTTAAAAACAGTACATTAAAACGAATGTACCAGCTTGTTTAGAAGTCTAATGAGAACATCAAGCTTCAACAGCATTACCACAATTTCTCATTGCCATGTTACTGTGTATCCAGGGCCAAAATAAGCTGTGTTTCAGGTACTAGAGTTGGTGTGGTGTTAGTAGTGGAAGGAGCTCTGTTACTTAGCTGCTGCTAAGTTGTAATGTTTTTGTCATGGAAAAACATTATTGCATGTATTTGAAGGGCTTGTGATTTGCATGATATTTTCTGAGCAGAAATCAAAGCGCTGCATTTAAATAATGTTCATCTGGAATTCTGGCAGTAGTCCATCATCATTCTTCATTTCTCCCACATTGTTCAATAACTTTTCATAAGGGCAAATCCAAAATTATTCCTATTGTGTTATTAAGAAATAATATTCTAAGTTGTCCATTGAAATTTGTGTGGTACTGGCCTGGGTGGTATGTATAATTTTTTAAAGGTAATTGGATATTACAGAATTACTGAACAAAGGAAAAAGTAAGTACAAACAGTAGTATTAACAATAAAATATAACAAAATTAATACTACTAAATCAGAGAAACAAAGAGAAAGGCTTGGAAAATGTATAAATCAAAACACCTACAAAAAAGGTTAACTATAATGACTGAAAGTTTTCTTGTTTAAAAATAATAATTCTAATGTGGACAAAGAATACATATCAGCAATCCATTGCTGCAAATCAAGTATAAATTTATTCTTTGGGTGTTGTAGAAAAGCCAGCCCTTATGCCCGTAAACTCTATAATTTTTGATATCTTGGGGACATAGTTAAGAATAACATAGGCTTTTTTAATATGCAGAGGACAGTCCAGGGGATAGTAACAATGTCCATCCGAACAGTGACAAAGGGCAAGACCAAAATGTATGAGTTAATGTTCTACTTGCATCTCCAATAGCAAGGCCATTATAACAAATTTCAGTAATACATTTTCTAGATACAGTTAAAGAAAGATTGTAACATGGGGCAAAATTCACTTAACTGTCTCATTTATCAACATAAATTTCGGGGTCAATTGTGGTCATAAATTGAGGACTATTAAAATCACAACACCTCCTATTTTTAGAATTATAACTTTTCTAAGTATTCAGACTTCCATAAAAGATTATTTTTAGGGAAAAGATATGTATCCTGCAGAAAAGCATAATGAGTAATCATCTTTTTAAAATTGATCTAACACTTGTCATTTTTTAATTGGAGATACAATTCTTTAATATTACATGTTCCAAAGATGATTAATATTAGGCATCATTAATATTATGAGCATTAAGCAAGAGCAATGTATCTTATCCATACATATCACACCGACGACATATTGAAAGGCTAAGACATAAAGAAAAAAGAAAATGATAAACAAAAATAATAATAACTTTGGATGCATCAGAAAACATTCTTACATTTATGTACATTACATAAATTTAGATTTAATGAAATTTCCCAGAAGCAGAAAGATTACATATCAATAAAATTAAAGATGCTTCATAGCACAAAAAAAGTGAAGCTGTATTTTTTAAAAAAAAATGAATGTGAAATTAGCCTGTATGCCAGTGATTTTAGAGTATATTGATGATTACATAGAATTCATTTGGATCTATTCAGATATGTAGACAGACAGAGATAGAGTAGAAAAATATTGCGGAGAGAATCAAAGCAATAGCAAGAGAATTACCCAAGGTGTTCAATAACTTAAGTTTTTTCTAGAACTCACCATGATTCAAAGAATGGTTATTTGTAAAGTTTAGGAATTTCAAAATCGGATGCAACCATACGCATTCCATGTTACATTTAACCATAAAGAAAATTTGTTTATTTTAAATTATTTGCAACATCTATATCTTTTCTTTCTGGACATATTTATTGCATCTCAGGATAGGCTCCAGCACAAGTCTGAAAGCTCGGAAGACTAAACCTCTGGTCCTGGTGACTGACCCAGATTCGGATCCTGCTATTACTATTCAAAGTTGATGCTGTTTGACATTGGACATCCAAGCAACAGATTCTGGGATTCTTTCATGAAATTGTATAGGATCAAAGCCATCTTGTAGATGTAAAACAAGAACAGAAACAGGGTGGACATGTACTGCAGCAGATGCTGTACTATCACAGAAATAGCTGCATAAAACAAATAACCCAAATAGCTGTGATAAATCACCTTTGGGTAAAAAAATAATTGAGAAATGGTCAAAGTCAAATTTTTCTTTTATGGGTATATGATAACAATAAAACATCATCATCTGAGAAATTCACCAAAATATACATTTATATAATACAAGATAAAGGAGCAAAACGAAGTGAGACAATATTACAAGATGCTAAATTAAGAGTTCATTTAAATTTACTAGAAATTAAGACTTTATGTTCACACAAATTGGTAATATTGAATCTAGTCTGATAAATTTATTTCCAAATAGAACAATCTTTTTCTTTGTGGTTAAAATGAAGGTTAACAAAAGCCCTTCAGGTTTTTTTACTTTACAAAAATGTATGATAAAAAGACAATTACCCTAGTTCCATAATTTTGATTTTAAAATCCTTTTCTTTGAGAACAATAATCTGTATAGCTGCAGAGTTCCCTGAGAACTAAAGCTTTTAGAATATTATGATAGCTTCAGAAGACACTTAAAGCATATTGGTTTGGAAACTTAGAGCTTTAAATGTGTTGCTAAAAATTCAAAAATAAATATTTAAATTGTGTAAATTAATAAAGATTGAGTTTCTGATCATTGTAACTATTTTTGAACTATTAATATAAAGTGAAAGTCCAATGTTAGACAGGTCTATGATGTTTCCATTGTGAGAGGATACAAGTTAAAATAACTGAGCTGAATGTTAATGTTGAAGTCTGCACATGTGCAACACAATTAAATATATAGTATAATTGCGTGTACATGATCTCAAGTGAGTGAGAAGTGTTGGAAAATTCAGATCAGGTACAACTCTATAGAGCTGTAACTTTAAAAAATAACTGGAACTTTTTATGCACTTGTTTAGAGATGCAAATAAAAAGCAAATAGTACTAATCTTTTTTGACAGATATGCCAAGCACGATAGACATATTGGACTGAGAATTGAATATCAATTAGTAAAATAATAAATGTTATGTTGTGTCTGACCCCATTTTTACTTGTAACGATTTGTAGTTACATTTTACCAGGGATTTACTGAAAAAATGTTCTCTTACTTGATTATTGCCCTTGGGATGCCACATGCTAAAAACAAAAGGCTAGGAAGTGTGCCAAGCATTAATGAATGGCAAAATAAAGTACATGAATATTCAGTTCTTGCTAAAGTGACATTTATTTAGTGAGAGGGGGGAAGGAAAGCTGGAGAAATACAGGTAGATCTCACTTACCAACTAATTTGTTCAGCAACCATTTGAAATTACAATGGCATTGAAAAAGCAGATTTGTGACTGGTCCTTGAACTTGCAGCTACAGCAGTCATGTCATCATGCTTTGGGTACTTAGCAACTGGCACACATTTACAATTGTCACAGCATCCCACAGTGAATGGTGAAATGTTCACCATTTCTGTGCTTCACAACCGGCTTTTGACAAGTAAAGTCAATGGAGAAGCCAGCAGTAAAATTGCAAGTCATGGTCACATGACATCATATTTAACATCCGCAGGTGATGAGAAAAGCACATCTTCCCCTGTCCTTACCACTTTCTATAGAGGGACGATAGAGAGTATCCTGTCATGTTGCATTACTGTCCACTCCCTTCCCTCCAACACATAACATATAAGCGATGTTTGACCAAGGTCTGCAGGATTGTCTGGGATGCTACACATTGTCTTCATGACCTTTTTTTCCTTGTTACCTTCTGGGAGGAGGCTTTGTGGTATCCAAAGCAGAGCATCCAGATTTAGTCATAGTTTTGTTCCATATAGCATCAACCATGTAAATTCTCAAGTTTCCTCTTTCCGCTATGTGTTCAAATGAACAGTGATTAATATTTATATGTATGGGTGTGTATATGTATACATATATGTATATGTATAGGTATATGTAAATGTATAGGTATAGGTATAGGTCAGGGTAGGCAACCCAAAACACTCAAAGAGCCACTTGGATGTGTTTCCCACCAAAAACAAAACACTGGGAGCCGCAAAACCTTTTTGATATCTAACATGAAGATAACACGGCATATATCCTTTTTTACCTTTTATATATATATACAAATATATGTAGGTATGCATGTATGTATGTACGTATGTATGTATGTACGTATATGTGTTGGTGTGTGTATATATAAAATAAAGGTAAAAAAGGATATATGCAGTGTTATCTTCATTTTAGATGTCAAAAGGGTCTCTCTCTCTCTCTGTCTCTCTCTTTCCTTTCTCTTTCCTCTCTTTCCTTTCTCTCTCTTTCCTCTCCCCCTCTCTTCTTTATCTCTTTCCTCTTTTTCTCTCTCTCTTTCCTCTCCCTCTTCTCTCTCTCCCTCTTTCTTCTTTCCCTCTTTCTTCTTTTTTTCTCTCTTTCCTCTCCCCCTCTCTTTCTCTTTTTCCTCTCTCTTTCTCTCTCTCTTTCCTCTCCCTCTTTCTCTCCCTCTTACTCTCTCTTTCTCTTTCCTCTCTCTCTCTCTCTCTTTCCTTTTTCTCTTTCCTCTCTCTTTCTCTCTCTCTCTTTCCTCCCATTCTCTCTTTCTTCTCTCTCTCTTTCACTTTCCTCTTTCTTTCCTCTCTCTTTCTCTTTCCCTCTCTCTCTCTTTCCTCTCTTTCTCTTTCTCTCTCTGTGTCTCTTTCCTCTTTCTCTCTTTCCTCTCTCTCTTTCCTCTCTTTCTCTTTCTCTCTTTCCTCTCTCACTCTTTCCTCTCTCTCTCTCTTTCACTCCCGCTCTCTCTCCCTCTCTCTTCATGTGAGGAGAGAGAGAATGAAAGGCAGATGGCGCTGAATGGG